TCTTTGTAAGAGAACTGCTACTCTTAGGTCAGCAACTGAATGCCCTGGATTCCTGGAAGGTTAAAATGTCCCCCCACTGGTTTTTGAATGTTGTGGTTTCTAATAGCAATAGAAAGAGTAAGAGTCCAGGAGCACCTTTAAAGACTAACAAAATTTGTGGTGGGGTATGTGCTTTTGTGAGTCACTGCTCACTTCTTCAGACTTATTTCCATTTATTCTTTGTATCCTCCTGGACTGAACCTTCCTGTACCAAACTGAGACCTAGGTTTCCTGTCTCATAAATGCTGATATCTCCACACCTCTGTATATCACACCAATGCCAATATCTCCACCCCTCTGCATATTACACCTAATCCAATCACACTTGGTATTGCCATTTGGCATCTGAAGTCATCTTTATAAAGTTTATAACTCTGGTACCTTGTGTTACACTTTACGGCACACATGGCCTGGCTGGACAAAGTGACATTTATGTCAGATCTGGCCATTGTAACAAATGAGTTCGACACCTCTGGCCTAAGCAGTCCTGGAAGTTTTTAGAGGAACCACATCTTGTCACATGACATACCTTGGCCTACTGCTGTGCAATAGGGCTTTTTTTTGCTGGTTTTTTTTAAAGATACAGAAAGGAAAGAAGAAACATATTTAACATTTTAAAAAACCCATAAGGCTGCAGATCACCTTGATAATTTTTGTTCCAAAACAATACAGAAACTGCTCATCTCTCAATAAATCCATTAGACTGTGAGTAAATTCCCATTCTCCTGTGTTAATTTAGACATTAATGTCATGTCCTTTTAAAATCAATTAATGTCAGCCAATTTAAGAGAAAGCTTTTAAAATACCCAATAGCTACTTAACCCCATCTATGGTGAGTTGTATGTATTACCCATCAATGGACATTTGTTGATGATGCCAAGGCTCAGAAGGAGATTTTTATGCCCAATAAATATTAACATTTTAGAACAGCACACTAGAATCAGTCGATGAAATAGCTAGATACCACCTGCCACTGGACGCCAAAATAATTCATCTGGGCTATCTGGAGTATAAAATTTAGGGTAAAGGGAAAGAATTTGGAAATTTCTCATTCAACCTCCCTGGTGGAATGAGCTACCATGTGAGATCAGGGCCCTGCGGGACCTATTTCAGTTCTGCAGGGCCTGCAAATAGGGTTGCCAAGTCGAAATTTCTCCTTACCGGGGGACTTCCGCGCCGTGGCTGGAGCACGCGCCGCATGCACGTCACCCAGAAGTGACGTGACAATGCCGGGCATGCTGGGGGTGGGGCCACAACCATCTGAGGGAAAACCATAGAGTTTTCCCTCGGATGACCATGGCTCCGCCCCCAGCGTGCCCGGCGTGGTCGCGTAACTTCCAGGTGACGTGCATGTCGGGGTGAGGTTCCCCCTGGGGCCCGATCCGCCGCCGGCGGGGAATGGGCCTCTGGGGCGGGGGTTTCCCCGCCCCCCGGGGGGACTTGGGAAGCCTACCTGCAAAATGGAGCTCTTCCGCCAGGCCTTCAGTTGAGGCAGTGGGCATCCATTTGATTAGGCCTCCCCCCCCAGTGACTGAAGTTCCTGGAAGTCAGACTGGGACACGTTACCTGCCATTGAGGCACGCTGTTGTTTTAATGCTGATGTTTTAAGTGGAATAAGGATGACGATGGATTTTAAATTGGTTATTGTAATAAGTTTTTAAAATTGTAAATTTGCATTAATTGCAGATACCTATATGTTGTTACCCACCCCGAGCCTACAATGTGGGGATGGAGGGCTATAGTCTTAATGAAATAAATAAATAAATAAATAAATAATGGGTTGGAATTTCATTACTGTCTCAGGAGCTTGCATAGCTTCATATTGGAAGGAGATCAGCCTGCCCCATTTTGACCTTCATGGTTTGCGTGGGAGTGCTGCTGTTCAGCATATGAAAAAGTTAAAGAACTGTAGTTTGCCATTTAAAAATTGGTTACTGAACACTAAAAGGCATAAACTCTACAGTGGCAGGGTAGATGGAACGCTTGAACTAAGTGAACTTTTTTGTCTCTATTTAGTGCCATTCTGTAGCTTAATGCTTAATTATATAGGACCACTTTATAAGCCCATTTAAATTCTTGGAGGCAAAGATGCTTAATTAAACCAGAATCTTTGAAATGGAACTTTATAGCAATCAAAAGGAGATTATATATTGGAAGGAGGGAGGAAAGATGATACAGAAGGTTAAAATGGTAACTCCTGTGATTTGTATACTTCTTGTAATTAAAAACAAGTTTAATACTTCATTAATATCAAGAAAGACCTAGCTGATCAAAGTGAATCATAGTACAATTGGCATTCATGTTGAACCGAACATGTCGTCATCGCAACAGTTTCCTTAAAGGAGTTATCCTGTTTTGGCTAGGTTGGGCTGAAAGAGTGACATGGTCAAATCCAATTAGAGTGTTGGATCACACAGACGTAGTCCTCTAATGGTGGAGCTTTCCCTTGGAGTGCAGAGGCTTCTCCAGAAAGGTGCCTTGTGTTATGGGAAAGCACCACCATTAGCTGAAAGATCCACCAGATCAGTGAGTTCCATGACTACAAATAGACTCATCAGGATTCTCCATGTGCTTCATTCTACAGCTAAGTTTCTGGCTTATGATATGCACAACATCAACCATGGCATCAGGAAGCATTAAGATCATCCAGCAGTTGCTACACAGCCACATCATATTTTTCCCTCTCTCCCCCAACTCTGGACCAGAAAAATTCACAGATGGGGGCTGAAATGTGTGTCTGAGCTTGCGTGGGGACAAAGGATCAGCAGAAGAGCAAGCCACAATAATGGCATTCCCAAGCTGCTGTGACCAAATTTGCACCAGAAACCAAACAACCAGTTGCTGAGACCAGCGGGATCACCAGCCTGGGTGTTGTACTGTGACAGCAACAGAGACCATTGTTCCCAGCCTCTGAAGGCCTAGATATTAAGTAGGAAGAAAGAGACACTTGCAAGGTCCAACTAATATGCATTTTAAAGCAGACGGGTCTGGAGACCAAGTCCTATGAGAACAGGTTGAAGGAGCTGGGTATGTTTAGCCTGGCGAGATGACTGAGAGGTGATATGATAACCATCTTCAAGTACTTGAAGGGATGTCATATAGAGGATGGTGCGGAGGTGTTTTCTGTTGCCCCAGAACCAATGGGTTGAAATTAAATCAGAAGAGTTTCCGGCTAAACTTTAGGAAGAACTTCCTGACAGAGCTGTTCCTCAGTGGAACAGGCTTCCTCAGGAGATGGTGGGCTCTCCTTCGGATGTTTTCAGTCAGATGGCCATCTGATTGCCATGTTGGGGTCAGGAAGCAATTTTTCTCCAGGACAGTTTGGCTGGAGATCCTGGAGATTTTTTTGTCATCTTCTGGGCGTGGAACAGCAGTCACTGGTGGTGTGGGGGGGGGACGTATTTGTGAATCTGTGGAGGTCCCTTCCAACTCCATGATTCTAAGAGGCAAATTTCTCTGTGCTTTTCAGAAGGTCCGGGACATGGAATAAGAAATGGAGTAGTCAAACCTCCCCTTCACTGACAGAGGCCCCAGAGGACAAGAGACAGGCAGAACCCACAACGTATGGGACTGCCATGGAACACGCCACCGTGACATTATTTATTCATTTAAAACATTTCTATGCCACCTTTTCACTCAACTCAGGGTCTCCCAAGGCAGTGAATATGCCAATTGTTCATCCTTAATGGATCTAGGGTTTCCGTGACAGTAACCTTATTGCCTTCCACCATTCTCTTGGCCAGTGAGAGAAAACTGGATTTAAAAATTGCTTGGCATGGTTCCGTTAATACCCCTTCTAGGGAAAACGTGGAAGCAATGTCATGCCTCTCCAGGAACTGTTAGAAACTCTGGTTTTACCAGCTTCTCCCTAGGGAAGCATGACATCATTTCCCCAAGTGATGTAATGCCATCACTCTGACAGTGTTCACAATGCCCCTGTCCCCCGGACTCCTACTGGTTGCCACCCACTGGTTCACAACCCTATATGGATCTGTGCTTAATGCAAAAATCTAGGCTGGATTCTATCACTGGAATACTTTCTCTGTTTACTGTACTAACCATCTAATAGATGATGGCATGGATAATTGTTATACAAAAGTGGCTAGCGCTATAGAATCTTGATTTAGAAAACAAAACAAAACAAAACCACATGCTCTTGAGTCATTTCATATGGGAGACATCAAAACCAAAAAAAACCCCTCCCACCCATGATCATCATATAGGGTACAATTCACTAGAGATATTTCCTGTCCAAGCTCTACTGAAATGGACAAGGCAACACTTATACATTCCAAAGCCACACATATAGACATCCCAGGTGTAGAAGAGGCTGCAGCCGAACATCCTTCCATTGCATATGGCTCCAGTTCCAGGTGAGAGTTCTGCAACCAGCCACCATGAAGAAGGCCAGAGAGAGAAGAGGCAGCAGCCAGGCCTCTCTCCTCTGTACCTGGACTGAGGTTTCAAGGCACATCATGTTTTACTTTAGATCCATATTAGTTTTTAAATTGCTGTAAGCCACTTTGGAAGCCAATTTTTGTTTTCTGGCTTAAAAAATGGGCTAATTAATTATTGTATGGCATTGTGTATAGAATAGCCAGGAGATCCTAAGACTGCCTGGCAGTTAGAAGTTCTAGCTATTTTAGCATTACGCACCACTGGGTGGTGAGCTAGACTTTTTTTAAAGGCAAGAGACGTTTCAGAGGTGGTTTGCCACTGCCTTCCTCTGCGTCATGATCCTGGTATTCCTTGGAGGTCACTCTTCCAAATACTAGCCAAGGCCAACCCGGCTTAGCTTCTGAGATCTGATGGGATTGAGCTAGCCTTGGCTACCCTGGTCAGGATCTAACAGGTAGAAAAAATTAACTGCCAAAATGTTCCTCATGGGCCCAGCTCATGGTTGTAATGGTCAGTTCATGATAAAAAAAAGAACAAAACCATCCAAATGAACACAAACATACATTTTCCGTGGTTCCAGTGATCACGTGCAGCCCATCATATGTCGACTTGATATACATCCCCTTAAAAAGAATGAGAGAAGCCACAATTAACATCCAGAGCTAGTGAATAATCCATAATGAGCTCCCTTAAATAGGGCGACAGCAATTAAATTGTTTGCACAATAATGACAAAATGCTTATTCTAGATTAAAATGTACAGGGTGAGTTAAATACTTTACAATGAAGTGAGGCTCACAATGCAGTTTGTGAGCTTCGGGGTAACACAAAATTCTTCTGCAGGGTCAATGTTACGGCTTTCTTCCCCAAAGTCTCACATTTATACCTGACCTTTCTTCCAGTGAGCTCAGAGAACACAGACATGGAAGTTATCCCCAGGGGTTGTTTCGTAGAAAAAGAGCTAGGGGAACTCATTAGCATAACTCATTAGGATATGCCACACCCCCTGACATCAGGGGCCCGGCAGTGGACCTGCAAGGCCAGCGGGAGTGTGAGGAAGCCCCGCGAAGGCCCTCCCTGGCCCCAGGCAGGCAGGGGTGGGGAGAGGCAGGGGGGAAGCAACTTACCCTCCCTCTTCTCCTGCCTCCTCCTGGCTGAATGAGGGCCGGAAGCGGGGCGGCCGGAAGCAGGGGGCGGGGCTTCGTCATGTGCCCCGCCCCCGTACTTCACCTGGGGGAACTGCGATCCCCCGTGATCCCCCCCGAAATGACCTCTGGTTATCCCATATCCAAACAGCCTTGTGAGGTAGATAAGGTGTGAGAGAGAACATAACTGAGCCACAGGTACCCAATGAGTTTCACTACAAGTAGGGATTTGATCCCAGGCCTCTGGGTTGAAATCCTACTCCCTACTCATTACACCATAGTACTTCAAGCAAAATGGGGAAAAAAAGACATTGCTAAGAGAGGATGCTGGGAATCTTTGAAAGTCCCAGTCACATATTTGCATGATGGAATGGTGGGATTGTACGCCTTTAAGGCCTGCCCTCGACCATATCTGCCCTACATCTGGAATCAAAGTTGAAGGCAGCCTGGTTCTGTTCAGTTTATTTCAATACAAGTTCAGCTCAAAAAGTATTCATAAAATCAATAAAAACTGCCGCATACAACAATACCAAGACCAGCAAAAAAAGACTTACATGCCCCATTATAATCCAACATCATGCACACATTCCACAATAGCTATTTGAAGTCTCTGCCATCTATTTTTATCTTGTGCCTGCCATTATACGAAATTTCATTACATTTCGTTACGACTAATTTCTTTAGAGAAGTCTGAAAGGTGGATGGAAGTAGAGAAGTGTTCTTATCTTCCTGGGGAATTTATGAAAATCAGTGTAATATATTTGGAATGTATATCATTATAGCAGGGACAGTATAATAATACGTGATCAACTGTCTCAACCTTCCCCAATTGACAAGGGCAAGCCCGCTGGGAATAAGGAATGAAATAAGGAATGAATCCGCCTTCTGGAAAAGCTGAGGGCAAGGGACTGAAACATGCCAAAGTGAAGACTGTCCTCTATTCAGGAATTTCTACGACAGTGAGATAGTGTGCTGGCACAAAAATCTTACTATAGGATGTTGCAGTAGGGTACCAGTGTAAACAGGTCCAGTTGGATAGAAGGGCCAGGTCCCAGATCCGTTGCTTATTTCTTTGGTTTTCTGGAGGCCTAGATGTAACAGAGCTGGAGGGTAGAAGCCATACTCGTGTAATTTTCTTTCAACAGTTCTCAGCCAGCTTGAATGGTGCTTATATACAAGAATAAGGGGACGATTAGATTTTAGTCCTGTAGCACCTTTGAACCCAACAACAGTTTCAGGGTATAAGCTTTTGAGGGTCAAAGCTCCTGTTGTCAGACACAGGCCCTGGTCACATGGGCTAGATAACGCGGAAGGGGGGGAGGCGTGGCTGTTCGCCCCGGAGCAAAATAAAGCATGGTAGCCTGATCACATGGTCCCCGGAGTCTCCGTGCTTCGGCTGCTAGCTGGCGATCACATGGCAATGCTGCAGCATGGCAAATAAGCAGCGTGGGGTGATCACACAAGCGTTTCGCGTTTCTGCGCATGTGCAGTTCCGCAGAGCAACACTGCTTTCAGTTTTGTGTTTGAGCGCATGCGCTTACAAAAAACATCCGGTTTGCGATGGGATGTGGATGAGCGACGGGTGCCATGGGATGCTAGCGCTCCCGCGATCAGATGCCCGCCCCTGCCCGACGTTTTACGCATACTAGTGCACTTTCCGAGGTACTTTTTAACTCCGCATCTTCGGCGGGATGCCATGGGTTGGCTACGGGTGCGCTACGCTTCCCAGATGTTGCGGTGTGATTGTGCCCCAAAAATCTGCCTGACATTCGTGCCTTTTTCGTGGCAAATTCTCCGTGTGTCCATGGCCACAGTAGAGTAGAAATGGAGATCTGGGTCCTTTTATCCTAGTCAGAAGGTGGGAGGGGTATTGTGAAGAATGCTTGTAAAGGATGCAGAGATACAAGGCATACTGTAATCAGCCTGATTAGAATGCAGGAGAAATGCTTGGGGGGAGAAAATTAGCATCTGTAATGAGATAAAAATCCTATGTCACTATTCAGTCCTGAGGGGATCCATTGTGCTTAAACTTGTGAATAATCTTGAGTTAGTCCCTGAGGGTTGCAATTTAGTTTTAACCAACAGGTGGTCATTTGAACCCACATGAATTCCTCAAGTGGAACCAACCCTACTTTCAGCTCAAGGAGAGCATTTGGAATACATCAAGGAATCCAAATATTGGCCCCGGTCACACTAGCGGGAAAAGCCATTGCAGAAGTGTGGCTTTTTAGAGGTGCAGCAAATTGAAGTGCGGCAGCGGGATCAGACATATCCCCCGAGATGAGCTGCATTTGCTCCCCGCCACGATCACATGCCGAGGAGGAAGCGATGGGACGAAGGGTGAGGCGAGGCAGTTGCGCAGTTGTGCGCACGTGCAGTGTGGCAGGGCCTCGCATACCATGGGATACGGGCGCGTCGGTGATCACACGCCCACCCGTGCTGCGCGTTTCCAAGTAGGTAGTAGTGTTTTGCTGGTTTCTTTTAAATTCACATTTTCGGCCGGAACGGACGGGTTGGGGGCGGGTGTGTGATGCTTGCTAGATGTTGGCATCTGATCGCGCTGGTTTAATCCGCCCTCAACCCGTCCGTTTCGCGCCGAAAAAAATCCTCCCGTGTGACCAGGGCCATTGATAGCAAGAACCTAGATTGCATCACTTCCAGAGGGTGAAGATCTTTATAAAGGCAGACCTGGGACCCATACATTAATTGGGCAAACATAGCTGCAGGGATATAAGAAGCCCCTTTGGTAAAAAACACATCTCAAGGTGGCTGAGGATTGATGTAGTGGTTAAGTGCGTGGACTCTAATCTGGGAGAACCGGGTTTGATTCCCCACTCCTCCACTTGCACCTGGCTGGATGACCTTGGGCAAGACGTAGTTCTGATAAGAGCTGTTCTTGAAAAAGAGCAGTTTCTGTCAGAGCTCAGCCCCCCTAACTCACAGGGTGTCTGTTGTGGGGAGGGGAAGGGAAAGGAGTTTGTAAGATGCTCTGAGACTCCCTTGGGTAGTGAAGGGCGGGGTATAAATCCAATCTCCTCCTCTTCTTCTTCTCTTGTTCTATGGGTATTCTCAGTAATATGCACTAAAGACTTAGGCTGCGGCTCCACACACTTTCAGTGCACTTTCCAACTGGATTTTACTGTGGCCCATTCTGCATCTAGCATTTGCTCAGCTGTTTTACCAAACCCACATTGGAACAGAAATTCCCCTCTACATTGCATGCCAGTTTCACTTTCTTTGATTGTCAGATTTTATGGTAGCCTCCACACTGCACGCCTGTTTCACTTCCTTTGATCTTGCAGTTTTATGGTACTGTCTGCATAGATTTATGGCCATTCAGGGGTGACTCTGCAGTCAGTACAGCGTTGGCCTGGGGTACGTGAATGTGGTTTTGAGCCACATCTTTTTCTGTTCCAGTGTGGGTTTGGTAAAACAACGGAGTGAATGCTAGATGCAGAACGGGCTGTGCAAACTAGCAAAATCCAGTTGGAAAGTGCGTTGAAAGTGGGTTGAAAGTGGATTATTGAGTGTATGTGACTTCAGCCTAAGAAGGGTTCCAAAAGGACCTTTCCCAACAGCCATGATCTGAGCAACGGGGGGAAATATACTTCTTTTCTAAACCAGAGGAAAACAGAAAAAGAAATCTTGTCCCCAAAACTTTCTGTTCTCTGCAACTCAAAGAGAAAGCTTTCTTCTTCTTCTCTTCTTCTAAAGTGTTTGCTTTTGTTCTTTCTGGCCATTATCATTGCATGAGAAAAGCAAGGCACTGGGGGGGGGGAGCAATACTTCAAAAAAGGAACAACACAATTGTGAACCCAGCTAAGCAACGAACAACAGTTTTATCACCAGAACCTAATTCTGTCACCTCCTCTACAGCACAATACTTGGCATCTCATTATTTAAAGCATCGGAAATTTATATGCTGTTTTTATTCCATTTGTCTTTTTTTTAAAAAAGGAGAACAAACGTGGATGCATTTCTCTGTATCAGGAAGAAAATAGCCGCAGCTGCATTTTCTATTCAGAAGTGATGTCCCGCTACAACCCTTTGGAAACTGATGGTAAAAATAGTCCCCAAAGGAATCCAGTTAATCACGACACAGAAATGCTGAAATCATACAGGCAACCAAACTCTCCCAGTTCACTTAAATCCTGGGTATGTGTGCATCCATGGTATACTCAGACCGCACCACAGGAACGAGTGCTCCCATGTTGCCCACCTGATCTAAATGCACCATACCACCATACCTGATCTAAATGCACCACACTAATGAAGCTCTTTTAAGGTTCAGAATATGACCGCAGATCCTTCACAATGCTTACCTGGAGGACAGGCATATATTACATAAAGTACAGCCTCAATGGTTTTTCTCTGTCTTGAACAGTAATCCCCACCCCTCGCCCTCTTCCTGCCTTTGCCTAAACCTATAAGGTGATAGGGCAGCTGTGGTGGCGGCCTCCTATTTGGAGCCCCCTGACT